CGCGGACTAGATTTAGCTCGTGGGCAGTAGTTGATCACCACTGATATAGGGCATAGATCAAAATGTGTTGGAGTTTAATCGTTTCGTTGCTTTAAATACGTCATTAATAATGATAAAAAAAAAAAGGGGGATTCTAATTATTTATTTTAAGTTTCATCTATCGATGAACATTTTAAAGTTAAATAATAAGAGTTTCCCAGACGAATTTCTAATTATTTTGAATATGAAAAATGATTCTTCTCTTAACTCGCACACAAATTAATAAAAAATTAATTACTTCTAGATTTGCAATTACATTAAAATATATAGTTTTTAAATACTATTGCACATTTGTATGTATAATGTATTAACCTACCAAACCTTTGACTAATGTACTTGAGCAGTTAGTTTGTTTTTAATTATTTGGTAAAAAAAGAAGTATACCACAAAACCAAATTATAACTTAACGATGTTGTTGTTTTGAAAACATTTAAACTTTAGATACCTGTAATTGTTGTAGTAAAAAAATAGATAATTTAAGTTTTATATATTCAAATAACATTGAACCCGTTGCGTCATTGACTTATTGATTATTTAATTAAAAATATATCACTTTATTCAATCGTCAACTATACTGAGTATATTTTTAATATGTCCTTGGCGCCATTACTCATAAAGGATGTTGTTTCTGACCTGTTTTACCTCATGAAAAAGTATTCCGAAGTAAATACTATATGAACAATATCAACTAGTTCCAGATATCAAGGTTTTTTTTAAACTTTTTTATATCGCATTCTACCTATCAATTATCAAAATTATATTTTCAAAGCATTTATAGGAACGACATTTAGTCCAGTGGCGTATTTAGTATTTTTCTTAAAGGGAGAGTATCTACTTATTTTAATTACTCCAGTAGCAGAATTTATATATTTTTAATTAAAACATATTTCAACCCAGATAAATATTCGTAATAAATTATAATATTTATTTGATGTTTCTGTCATAATTTAAAGATATTTTTACATTGATAATATAATTATAAAGTTATAACTGTATGTTAAACGGTTGTTTCATCACAACTTCTCACATACGTTTCTGAATCTTAGCATGTTCGAAAATGTACAACTCTGTACTGGAATCTTCTAAATATTTTCAACTTTACCCAAAAACATGTTCCATTTCATAATGCTGGGGCCTTGTAAACAATATTTATTTTCTGGTTTTTTTTTAACTTAAATTCAATTATTTTTTTATTTTTTATTATTTATTTTTGTTTAAATTCGATATATTTTTAGTTATATTTTATTGTTTCTAAATTATTTATGACACCCTTATTGTGAAACGCATATGATGACGTATTTATGATAAGCTCTTAATTTTTCTTTAGTAATTTTTAACACATGATTTTTATCATTGTAAATAGTAAGAATAGGTACTTGATAGCTTTTATCTATCCTATGGTGAAATTGTTTTAATCATCTTGATAATCACTACGGGATATTATAGACAAATGTGACATGCATATTATGTTACATAATGATGATATAATATTATTATTAGTTATCACAATCATTGATTAGATATTTTTTTAATGGTCATGTTTTATTTTATGTTGTGTATATTCTATACGTTAACTCGCCTAAAAATATAATTTGAATTTTTTTTTACATGCTACTTTACAAGAATTTGATTTGTCTGAATTCATCAACTTTATCGTAAAAAACATTTGTTTATACATTTTCACTGTATAATATAAATAAAAACATGCTGTTGCGTATTTAAAAAAATATTATACAACATGTATGTACGATTTATTTTAACCATACTCATTAGTTATTACTTGTAATGCTACTGTTCAACACTTATTTTCTTCATATACTGTTGAAGACGGTAAGAAAATAATTTTTGTCTAGCCTTTATAAGGAGGTAGAAGTAAAAACAAAAACGACATTATAACAGAATATACGTACACGTAGTATGCTCACCGTATAAACGATCGTAATTTGCATAAAATTATGTGATTGTTCTACTTTAGATAACATTTAATCAATATGTACATACGGCGTGTGCATTAAATTAATCAATATGGGTCATTGTCAATTTATTTATAAACGGTTTTTTTTTTGCATAAGAATTTATACAAGATTTGATCATACGTGTTATTTTTTAACATACGAATAAAGCTCATTTCAACCATAGGAAAAATTTTAAGTACTAAAAAAAATGCATTACCTCTCTAAAATATTGCTAAACTGCAGATTTTAGGTATTATATAGATCTTAATAAGATAGAAAATAATTTATTTTTGTTTGATCTGTGTAATATTCGAAAAAAAATTTAGATGCTAATATTTAAGAGTTAAAATGATGACATTGAAGATTAAAATGGCTTAGGTGATTACACAACGATATTTAAAATTAAGAAATTTTGATTCAGGCTACTACCATTAATTATTTCAAGACTCAGAAAATATTGTGGTAGAATAGGGTGACCATACGTCCCGTTTAAAACGGAATTGTCCCGTTTAAAACGGGATTGTCCCTTTTTTTATCATTATGTCCCGTTGTCCCGAAAAACTTTGAACGGGACACTTTTTGTCCCGTTTTTAGAATAGGGTCCCGTTTTAAACATGTTACTTCTATAAAAATTGTAAACCAAGAGCAAAAGAAAAAAAAATAAGACATGTCATATAGTATATATGTATGTACTACGAACTCATGTGTAAGACTTCTAAAGAAATCGATATTAAATACGAATAGTTTACCAATGTACAGTACTATTTATAATCAACCATATTCGGTATAATAGGTATATTAGGTATATTAATCGAAAAATCGAACATAGTCGTGCAATAACGTGTGTACATTGCAACGATCTTGTGTTATTAATGTTATAACCACTATGTATTAGTTCTTTTTATTTAAATTGGTGTGAGTCGTTAGTGTTATCACTTGTATTGTTTTTTTAAAATTTCTAAAAAGAAATATACGTTCACTGTACCTTTGCAGATTAACTAATGCAATTATAGAAATAATATTATCAATCACAAATATTGTATGAACGGACGAAAAAAATAGTTTTCTCGTACTAATTGTCAAAGCAATAATAATTCTTATAAATAATTTTAAAAAATATTCCTGTAATGATTTTTATGATTTTTTTGTTAACACAACTAAAACTATTAAATGCAATCAGTTCATCAAAAAAAAATAATGTCAAAGAATGTAATGAAAAAAATTATGAACAATCGACTCAAATAATTCGAAATAATCAACTCAATAAAAATAAAGAATATTTTAAGTAATTTTTTTTTCAATCTCACAGCAAAAAGTAGAATGCAAATCAATTTTTAACTAAAATATATAACTAATTAAAAATTATTTTTATTGTATATAATATAGAAGTTAAAAAAAATGTTGTCTTTTTTTTTTGAGAACATATTTGTCCCGTTTTTTTCTTTCATAAATATGGTCACCCTATGGTAGAAGCTATGAGACAAATACGTATCAATAGTTTGCTAAGAACATGGGCTAGAAAAGTGATTTCCAAACTGTGCTCCACGGGCTCCGAAATTGTTTTTCCGTTCGTATTACGATAAAAAATATAATAATATAACAGTTATTAATCGTTATTTAAAACAATAAACTTATATATTTTAACAAGACTCCGTCAAAGCAGATATGTTTCACCTATAGAAGTATACATACAATATTAAAATCTCGATAAAAAAATATAATTATTTGGTTTTAGATAATACGTATTCCCATTCCAAGTATTATCTGGCCAGGTATTTTGTATTTTAATGTTGTAATAAATATATATATTATACCATTTTGACTTTCCTCCAATATACAGGGCCGTATTAGTGCATAGGCACTATATGAACTTAAGGTCTACGAATATTTAAAGCTTAGGAAAATATGTGGCTATGATATTTTGTAATATTTATTTTTTATTTTTTTATTATTATAAGCTGATATATACCAGTGATGGACAACTCAAACTAACAAGAGGGCCAATTTTTAGAACTTTAAAATCTGATGGGCCATAGTAAAAAATTGAAAAATCATTATCATAATATTCGAACTGCAATAGGAAATAATTTATCGCAAACTCCATCAAAGTTTTGAAAAAAAAAAAATATATAAAATAGTAGGAACATGAATTATTTAAAAATATATAGTGTGTGTATAGTGAGTTTCAAAGTTCCGTGGCATGTGTTTAATGTTATATACGGTAAGATAAAGACATAATTATCCGCGATCGCTTCAAAATTCTTGTAGACCAATAAAAATCTTATAACATTACAATGTTAAACAACATAGTGTACTATTTAAAATTATTTATGTATGAAACCAAAAACGTTAATGTTTTACCCATATGTAACGTGAGGTTTTTCGGTTGTTCAAATCAGCCAAATAAGGAAAAAAATGTATTTATAATTAATTAGTGTTCATCAAACCACTTCTGATTTTATAAAAATCATACGAATAATTTAAATCCCCCTCGTAGTGTATATTTAATATTATAGAATTGTTAGGTATATTCGGGAACGACTCAAATACCCTATTAGGTATATGGATATATACGATGTATGCTAATTGTACTCGCTTCCTAAGTGTATAATTCTCAATTTTTATACAAATGTAATGATTAATACAAATTTCAATGGGTTTTTTATTTATACCTAGTTGTTTACGTTTTTTATTTTTCGTGCAAATATTTAGATTTCGTGTGACGATTATAAATTATAACCTCATGTAAAAAAAATTGGAATAATAATTAAACGACGCGTTATAATATACATATATATATGTATATGAAAATACAAGTTTTAATAAATTATTCTCATTTCAGTTTTTATATACCCGCCAATCGCATTCATTGCCTAATAGTTGGTTATCAGTTAAATGCAGTTCCACCAGATCGCCTTATTGTTAGAGACATGTCCCTAACAATAAGGCATGTTATTACAGATGTCCGGACATCTGTAATTTATTTGTAAAATGGTACAACCCAACTTAATGTTCATAACCTGATTACCTTGACCTTCATACAAAAAACTTCCGAGATTCCATTCTTAAACCGTGCAGAAGATAGAATGTTACATGAATGTGCGCACAGAAATTCAATATATGCCGAAGCAAAACAAAACCTAGACTATATAGTTGCGAGTGGAACGATTCATAAAAGGTTAGTTTAAATCTTGAATAAAAAGTAAAAACTAACCAACCTAATGCCTCCAAAATTTCAGGACAATAATTATATATTCAGTTATTTAATATTTCATAAATAAAAGAAACATCAATCTATTTTCCTCCAAAAAACAAGGTAATTTTAACGCTAGTTCATCAATTCTACAATTAGTTGCAATTTATTTAATAAATGAGATTGTATTTTATTTAAATTATTTATGTCACCAGATTGCGATGTCATAATATGGACTCATAATCATAATTTGGTTGAACTATAGCGAACATAGAATATTTTTCAAGTCTCAACGTTGTCTCCTTATAAATTCTAACATACGCAACGTTTTTTTATGTATGTATTTGTTACGGTTAAAGTACGAATACCGGTTAAACCTAGAATTTACCGGTAAATCCTAGGTTTTGCCGACTACTGTTGGTAAACATCCGAATTTCGGACATTTACCAATTGATTTCGGTAAAACCTAGGATATACAACATCGTTTGGTCAAACCTCGAATGATTTTTGTAGTTCGGACTTTTACAAACGATATTTGATAAATCTTAGGATAAACAATCAGTCTTAGTAAAAGTCCAAATATAACTAAACTGCGATCGGCTTTTATCTTGACTATCATAATTATTATTATTTAAGTATGAACTTTGGGAATTTTCATTTCGATTTTCATATACATCATGATTCTGGAAGACCTTGACACGTGTACCTACTCATACAATCAAATCACTATCAATAGAATCACAATACAATCAATAAATTAGCCAAAAAGGTACTCTAGGTGTATGATAAAAGTTGTTCCTACTTTATACTGTGTTGCACATACAATAAAATTTAGTTTATGATACGGAACAGGTTTGATAATAGATTGATTATTGATTGAATAGGCATATTGAAAATAATATTGTGTGCAGTATTCGTTTTACAATTGTCGCGAAAAGTATATGATTTTCAATATGTCACTTAAAATACGGTTTTATGAACTTTTAAATGGTGTTGTTGAAGCAAAAAATAATAAAAACACTCTATACATAACTAATGAAAAGTATAATGTATTATTGAACGAAGTGAAAGAATCAAAATTGGTCAAAGTTAAAAAATCAATTCACTATCGACGACTTAAACGGTTTGATATTGTTAATATTGGCGGAGAAGAAAAACTGATTGTTCCGATGAATGGTGCCTCCGAAGAAATGCGTTACTATGTTCGCTATGATGATTTGTATGAAATTATTCATGAAGCACATATTGCAATAGGTCACGGAGGTAGAAATCGTATTGTGTATGCTGTTAATAGTAAATACAAAAATGTTAATATTGAGGCTATAAATATTTATTTAAAACTATGTGAGCCATGTCAAAAAAAACACAGTATGCCCAAAAAAGGTCTAACTGTTAAACCTATTATACATACCGAAATGAATTCGCACTGCCAAGTAGACTTGATTGATATGCAGGCAAATCCTGATAACAATTATAAATTCATAATGGTCTATCAAGATCACTTGACTAAATTTGTTATTTTACGACCACTTAAATTTAAATGGGCTGAAGAAGTTGCGTATAACTTACTCGATATTTTCACTCTTTTCGGTGTACCAAATATACTCCACTCAGACAATGGGAGAGAATTCGTAAATTCTGTTATTACAAATTTGTGTAGTTTGTGGTCTGAATTGAAAATAGTTCACGGAAAAGCTCGCCACAGTCAGTCTCAAGGTTCTGTTGAGCGTGCCAATCAGGATATAGAAAGTATGATTGCGACGTGGATGAAGACAAATAAAACGACGAAATGGCCAGAGTCCTTACGATTCGTACAAGCTATGAAGAACGGAGCTTTTCATTCTGGTACGTATTGTATTAAAATTGGTATTTTACAAGATAAAACTAATAAGTTTTTCAATGTATTTTGACTTTTTTTGAGCTATTTATACACAATTGAAATTTACGAGTGTTTAAAGTTTTAATTTTAATTTGAAATCAAAAATACACGTGTAAAATAACGTTTTACTAATAAATAATTTTCGATTTTTGTTATTTTTAAAAAATTACTAAACGTAAGATCTTAAAACTTTTACTTAAATGTTTGAATTTGTTTTAAAATAGAATATATGACAATATTTAAATATAATATATCCTAAACTGACAAATCATTTCCGTTTTTTTTTTTTTATTATTACAATAATTGAGGAAATACGAAAAAAATACAATGAGGCAAGATGAAGATATAATTATTTATTTTACTTAATAATGCCCTGGATAGCAAGAATACTGTTCTCCAAACAGCGCTGTTCCTAAGTAGACACAGTGTCAATAATGATCTAAACAGGTGTACCCAGTAAGAAACAATAACAGACTGTTGGTATAGAGTTAGATGGAGTAATATGGTCGAAACTACGAAAGTCCTTCGAAAACTGTGAAATCTTGAGAAGAATAAGAATACGTACAAACAATTACCTTTGATTCAATTACATATGTAATTGGTACACATTTTTTATAAATGTATTATATGTTTTTAAATTGAAATTTTCAAATTATTTGAATTTTAAAAATGCCACTTCGAAGAGTATGAGATTCCGAATGCTAAAATTAGGACGCTAAAAGTATGAAAATTGCTGTGGAAGAAGTAATTGAAAAACGTGTAACTCAATTGTGTAAAGTAATTAATAATTATTTTAATAATTTATGTTTATTTTTTTTATTTTATAATTATCTTGCTTTAAGCATTTACTTGTGACACTAAAATACATTTAGTTGTTTTAAATAAAGATTGGTATATTATGAAAAACCTAAGTCTCATTTTTACCATATAGAGCGTCTAACCTTACCTCAACTATTATTCATTATAATTATAATCCTAAATCCACAATGTTAGTAGTTGATTATTAATAAAATATGGTAAACGAATATGCTATAACTTATAAGTTATAACAGTCATAATAATAATACTTGCCGCTTAGGCGTTAAAAATCGCAAGTCGTTCTTATCTCAAGGCCAAGGCTGCAGGTAATTACCAATATCGATGACGCGTTATAATGTCTCCTAAATATAATGATGCCCAGTAGCGTATTCATGCATTTATGGGTTTAGTGCATCCTCAATGTGAGTATGGTTTACAAGTTTTATTAAACGAATCTATGAAAGTTAATACCACTTTGTCATACAAAATTGTTTAAGTTTTTTGTTGCAATTCAAAAACGTTTATCATTTCATTGATTCTGGCGATATTTCGATGAAGATATCAAATTTAGTTGGCTGTTGCATCCTCTGGCATTGCTACCACATTGTTGGAAGGCGGTCAAACTGCACATTCCGCTCTGAGCTGCCGATGAATCTTCTCACGGTTGACAAACCAACGTGCACAATAATCAAGAATTCGGCCATAACGAAATTGATGTGAGATTGCAAAATCATCATTCAGGATAAATGCACGATAATACATTAACGAGCTCTGGAGACAGTTGACCGAACGATGATGGATTTACGAAGTGATTTGAGACGATTTGGTGGGGCAATGATATTGCTCTCCGGAGATTTTCATCAAACGCTTCCCATCATCCCGAAATCTATTACTGCCGATAAACTTAATAAATGTCTGAAATCGTCGTCTTTGTGGTTTCATGTCGAGAAGTTGAAATTGACCATGAACATGAGAGTTGAGTTGCAGAACGACCCATCGGGGTCAATCAGGAACTCATCACCAAAGTGTTCCCCAGAATTGCAGAAAATTATAAAAATCTCGATTAGTGAACGGGCAATACTAACAGCGAAAAATAAAGATGTCGATAGCTTGATTTTCATTGTTCAAGGTTAAATCGCAGGAGAACTGCATTAGTACGAATCCGTTGACAACGTAACCGACGACGATGAAGTGACCAACTATCCAATGAAATTTTTGAACTCGCATGATGTGCAAGCACTCCGCTGCACAATTTCGATCATAATTATGTTGCAGAATCTAAATCATAAGAAATTGTGTTGCGGTACGCGATTATCCGTCAAGAAACTAATGAACAATGTGATTCAAGAGACGATCATCAAGGGTGAGTTAAAAAGAGAAACAGTCCTTATTCCACGAATTTCGATTATTCCAAATGATCTTCCATTCTAATTCAAGCGGATTCGGTTCCCCGTTCTATTAACTTTTGCGATAAAAATCAAAAATCGCAAGGCCAATCGTTGGAAGTTTGTGGGATCAATTTCGAATTTTCATGTTTTTCGCACGGTCAGGTGCACGTTTCCAGATCGCGTATTAACAAACCATCTTCATTGTTTGTTTTTGCGCCAGAAAACAAAACGAAAAACATTGTTTATCATATCGCTCTCTATTGATTTCGGTTCCATTCAATTAAATCACATTAAAATTTGAACTATATGTGTTTTATTACAAATTCAAATCAAATTGGTTTAAATGGTTTTTTTCTTTTTTTCTTTCGATAAATAATTAAATAATAAATTAACAAATTATATTCAATATAGTCTGTGTATTTGTAATATAAATTTGTACAAATGTTTGTTTAAAGATTTCAATTAAAAAAAAAAAATAAAATAAAAAAAAGTACAAAATATATAATGTATAACAATGTGAGTAGGAAAAAATACAAATTTGTTTTGAATTTCAAAAGAATGATTTTGAATACAAATCTAAAATTTAAATTATAAACAAAAATATGATTATACAAATCGTTTGCTTTGGAAATATATTTATTGTACTAATGATACTCGTAAAAAAATAAAACAATAATAATAACATAGAAATAACACTGAAGTCTGGTTGTTCTGAATTTAGGAATTGATCATAATGGAACCTATAAACAAAGAAATAGAAAAAAAATGATAGCTCAAGTCATATCGACGAACACATGATTAAATTTACCTATAAAAACTATTTTGTAATCTTAATTACATAGGTAATACTTAATATAAGTAATGTACATTTTGATTTTTTAATTAAAACATAAAAGACAAACACATTTAATGTTATTTTGACCAAATAACTACAATTATTATTATACATGATTTCCTTGCATCCACAATTGTCACTGAAACGATATTCATATGGTCTGTAATTTTTGGAAATATTCATTCACTTCATTTTAACATTAAATTTATTTGATTGATTGTTAAATGTGTGTGAACATTTAATCCATTTTTTCAATATTACTCTCGTAATGCTTATCAACTTTCTTCATTTTATCCTGAAATATAACGTTTTATGGTTTTTACGAATTATATTAATTATTTTATAAACCTTTTTCGTTACAAATCAATAATACAATAATGAAATAATATACATAACAATTTAATAAAATAATCTTAAACAGTCATGAACGCTAATTTTTTGAACATTATTTTCGTCAACGGTTATTATTGAAACTCATTGTATATTACGAAACGGCTAGATTGGCACAGAAGGCAATATACGGTAGTATACGTTTACGTTTCAAGCATCAACAGTTACAGTGATTATTGTGTTCAATGCCTCGGGCAGGGGCAGCTATATATATATATATATATATATATATATATATATATATATATATATATATAGTTACAACCATTACCAGTCTAAAATAGAAAAAATAAAAAGGTGGGCACTTCTTTACATTTGGCGGATGACTGAAGTTTATACAATAGGCATTTAAAATTAATCTGCTATGCGTTGATATAATTCTATCCGCTGTGATGATAATAACTGGAGGTCGGATTTATAGTCTCTTAAAATCTTAGAAATATGATGTTTTTATGTCATTTAAAAAAGGCAATATATTCTCTAAATATTCATTAAAAATACTACTTAACAAATATATTCTTAGGTATATGATATTTTATGTCTTTAAAAATACTAATATTTTTTCAATATTCTGTAAAAAAAAAAAAAAAATTATTTTAATTATTCAATTTACATTTATCATTTATTTAATGTTATTATTAATTTGATTTACAATAAAATTTTTTTAAAAAAAATCGGTTTTAATGCCAATTTTAACCGTGCGTGAATTACCCCTAATACCTAGTGATCCATTTTTATAACAACCTAGAAGGATATAAAAACAACTCATATTATGAATACTGTATTTATTGATCGATATTTTCAAAATGCTGATGTACGTGATATGGGTTTATGGATGTGCAGACAAATAATAGGTAATATACTTATTAATTTTCTTCAAAAAAATTATTTACGAAAATAAAAATATTTAAAAAATATTCCCAAATACTCTTAAAATATTGAATTTGTTTTATTTATAACGATTCATTTCAAAATTATGCAGTATATGTTATTAAAAACGACAATTTTACCATTTACATATCTTACAGAAATGGTGAATAAAATGTGGATTTTAGAATACTATGTGTAATCGTATAAGAAATCTGTGTAATGAAAAAGTATGAACATAAGCTGAGCGTAACTTCATATTAGATCCATATAGATTATATCTTGTATCCTTTGAACCTGGTTTTGAAAAACTAAATAATTCGAAATCAAGGATCTCACTAATATTTTATGTTACAAATGTTATTATAATTTTTAAATTAAACAAATTTTTTAATTTTAAACATTCATAAATATTTTTAGAGTAGGTATGTTAAAAAAATGTAAAAGTTATAATAAGGGATACAAACTAGCAAAACGTTAAGCTTAAGGGTACGAAAAAAAAAAGATTGGTAACCAGTGGCGTAGCCATGAGGGGACAGTGGGCCGTGCCCCCACTACCCTATTGGTCATATCAACGTTTTTACATAATGATCTATATAATTGTTTATTTTATACGTTTTAAAAATTTGTTTAATTCGCTTTTGTTCTTAATTCTTAACAATTTGTTTGATAGTAATTTTACTTTCAAAAATTACGAAAAAATCACAAAAGAAGAAGTATTCCGAGTTTTTATTCAAAATCTGATCTGCAAATATTATTATTAAATTGATCAAAATGAAGTTAATAAATTGAAATTTAATTAATAAAAAAAAACACGTTTAAACTTAATATAAAAACGAAGTGTTATTGTTAATTGTTGATCATGTTTTTTTAGTATTTAGGGTTTGGCCCACCTCCGTTTTAAAATCCTGGCTACGCCACTGTTGGGAACCACTGGCTTATAAGAACCATTATCAACCAGATTCTTTATAACTGAAATTGTCACCTATATTGATTTTAACAAGTTAGGTATTTGCATTGGTAAACTTAGCCCGGCAATTGATATGAAAAATACAACGATTACTACCTCTCTTGTCCATGGGCGCAATTTTAATTTTTTATCTGGAGGGGTTTGAAAAATGTATATCTAACATATCTGTGGGTTGCTTCACCCGAGGGGGGGGGAGAGTTGTTGGGGCACCATTCCCCTTAACCAATCTTACTTTCATCATTATACAAAATATTTATGTCACAAAATATAACAGTTTGAAATGTAATGTAATGTTCTGGATTTTTGGGGGATGCGGCTAAGTTTGGAAGGGGACTAAGGCCCCTGATTTGTATCCATGTTCTTGTTAACACCCGAGTGTTTTATCGCCGTTAGTTTTTAATTTTCTTTTGGCTTTTGTTGTTTATACTGCCTGCTATCGAATTCACTATTAATGCTTCTACTATTCCTATTCATTTTTTCTAGTAAACAATTAAAGTATTTACTTGATTTTTTTGTAAATGATTATACCTTTGTTCAACCCACGAATATAAAAACTAGATTAACAACAAATAATAATGGCAATATATAGAAATGAATAACTCTAAAAAACGAAATTATACACTGCTTTCGAATAGAACTATGTAGGTATATTGTACATAAACCAATAAATATTCTGTATTAAATAATACTATAAAAAAATCAATTAAAATACAATTTATGTAAAATTGTAAAATTAAAATGATTAGTTATTAAAATTTTAAATATATGAAATAAAGAAAGTATAACATGCAAGTAGGTATATAAAATATATTTTTACTACTCGGTGACAGTTTTTTTTTCGGTTGATTGTGACAACCAAGAAAAATTAGTATAAGTGATTATTTATTAAAATATGTTCTTTATTCTGTCAAATTCGTTATAATTAAAAAAAAAATGATCTAATATTACTAATACAATGAATGAGGTGGGCTTATAATAATATTAATGCATTCTATAAATCGAACATGGCAAAACTTATAGGTACTAAAATAATGATATTTAATGTAAACATTTTAATATTAAAATCCTAAATATATGCTTATATCATTAAAATACATTTTACAATTGCATTGAGATCATTACGCACATAATAACAATAATATATATTGAAAAAATCGAAATTACAAAATTTTTAAAAACAACTTTCAAGTAATTAAATTATTACATAACTATTAAATATGTACATACAATAAAATTCATAGGGTATCGTTCAACTAACATAATATAACATTAAAACTTAATAATTTAGTTATTACTAATTTATTGTTATATATCACAGATACAAAATTGAAGAGATCACGTGCATTGGATGCTCTACAATTAGTATTAGCACGTAGTCGATTGAGCCTTAGGCTTGAACCTTGACATGTAGAAATCACAGTCCGAACAATAAATGGACGGATGATTGACAGCCTTCTTTCGGCATAGGTTGCACGGAGAAGGCCTGGACATATTGCATTTGTCTTGCAATCGGGGAGATGGTGGTTGTTGGTAAACAGTATACCGACTCGGATCATTGGCAGGAACTGTTGTACCATTTGGAGTAGTGGCTCTTGGCTGACTGTTCGGTCTTGGTTGTTGTTGTTTGAATGCCACAGGGGCAGGTGGATGCTGATATGGGGGTAATTGTTGTGGTTCATACACAGTCATAGGCCTCCGCACCGTACTAGTTCTCTGTACAGAATTTACTGGCCGATTTTTAGATGGTAATGTTGGGTTGTTCCCATCCTGTTGGTTACTGTAATGTTGTTGGAGTTGCTTACGGTCCAGTGATGATGAACTGTGTGTTTCCCCTTGAGACCTTGGAAAATTTGATTGCAAGTCTTTTTTTGGGTGTGCAGGAGGTAAATGTGCAACATTATCTGGTCGAGTATAGGGCATTGAATGAAAACCATTCACCATGCTCCTTTGCCTTTGCAGCATACCTGGTGAGTGTTGTGATAATGGAGACATTTTCACATCCACATTATTCCTAGGATAACCAGGGGGTCTGTTGTCTGTCTGGTGAGGACTAACAGGAGGTATTGGCGAACACTGAGGTGAAAAACTAGTTCTTGACTCATTTTGAGTATAACTTGGTGAAGATTGAGGCAAGTTATTTGTTTTGTTGTCTCCTGTTACATTATTATTTAAAGGCCCATTTGCAAACTGCTGTGATTGATTTATTGGGAGACCCTGTTGAATATAGCCACCAGTTTTATTTTCATAATGTTGGGCCATCCTCTCTAATTGCTGTGCTTGATTAGGAGACAATCCTTGTTGAAGATAACCAGTTTTATTGTTTTCACAATTACTATTATATTGGGACACATTATTTAGCCGATCTGATTGTTGAGTAACGGGTGATCCTTGTTGAACAAATCCAGTTTTATCATGATTCAAATGCGTTGTATTCAATCTATCAAATTGTTGTGTTTGAATGTAGGTGGATCTATTGTCACCACTAACTGCATGGCTCATTTGATGTTGAACATTGTTATTATTATGCTGTACTTGTACAGGGCTGGGCTGATGAGGATAGCATGTTCGATTGTCAATCAAATGACTGGGATTGTTATTGTTCAATCTTTCATGTGGTTGACTTTGATACTGAGGAGTTTGTCCATGGTTATAACTTCTATTTTCATTATTTTGATGTTGACCACTGGCTTCCATATTTGAAACATTATATTGTAAATTTTTTTGTGGATGAAGTGTTCTAGGAGATCCAGGATTAGTTTGATACTGTTGTGTATTTGTTTCTAAATTTGACATTTGATTTCCATGGAATCTATGTTGTGTTTGGTTATCACCATTGTATCGAAAATGACCACTTCTACCATCAACAGGTGATTGTTGTGGATAACAATTAGACGGTACTCCATTTACTTGTCTGGTTGTTTGATTCCTTTCTAAAGAAGACTGATTTGATCTAGAATTTACAGGAGAGCAACTAGATTTACTTTCGTTCATTTGTTGATAGCTGAGTGAATGAGATTCATTATTTAAATATGATTTTTGATGACCCATAGGAGAAAGACTTTGATATTGTTGGGGATAGATACTAGTTTGTTGGGCATTAGAATAAAACTTATGTGTTGTTAGAGATTGATTTTGAACTGATTGAATACTGTCCAATGAATTAATTGATAAATTTGACATTGTATTTGCTATTTGAGAAGAGGAAGGTGATTTGAATTTTTGTTGTGTCAATGGAGATTGATTAAGGGGGGTTGTTTGTTGAATTGGTGACATTCGATAATTTTTAACTGATTCAACAGGTTTTTGAATTTGTTCAGGAAGAGGCGCTTTTAATTTTGGTTGCACTATAGGCGAAAGTGTTTGTGGTGGTTGTTGTACAGGAGACATTCGATATGCTTTTGGCGGTAACTCTTCTTTAACTTCAGTATTAGATTTTTCTTCAGTAATATTATTTTCATAAGATTTTAAAGACAAATTGCTGCGGTTGAATTGACCAGAGTCATTTCGTTTCAATGGAATAACAGATTTAGTTACTTCTCTATTTTGTTCAACAGGAGTGTCTTTATGAAGAACAGATCTTAGAACTCTTTCCAAAATAGGATTTGGTATATAGCTATCTACTTCATCTTCTTCTGCTGTTGCAACTAAAACAACTTGTTCGCAAAAAGTGACATTCTTCTTTTTCCCAGACTTTCTTTTTGAATCATTATTATCAAATGAAGTCTTACTAAGAGCACCTTTAAGCTCTTTTTCAATTTTCTTTTCTTCTTCGTCAACTACAGTTTCACAAATACCATCAGCTGGCAAATTATTGATTGCATGGGTTATTAAATTATCAATAATGCTCTTCTGTTCAAATTTATTTTTCAAATCTTTAACTATTGATTTAGAATCTAGATCTTGACCAACATTATCATTCCCACTCCAGGCAGATTGCTTTAACTGCAACTCTTTAACCCATTCTTCTTCATTTTTCACCTGTGCCATAGGCATGAGGGGACAAACTCCATCAACCTCATCAACAGCTAATACTGGTGGTGGTGGTGGTGGTGGTGGTGGTGGAGGAAATTCTTCACTAGGTTGTCTAGAGTGGCACACAGAATTTAATGGACTCGGATAGGGTGGTAATGGAAATCCAAGATCATCAACATTATTAACAACAGCATTTTGCTCAGGATTATGATGTACTTGTGCTTGTGTTATCATAACATTTTTATTATCTTTGTCAAGTAACATACCTCCATTGGCATAAGTTACATCTTCCTTACATGAATGTATGTATGGTAAAGATTGAGACTCAGATAACCATTCGTTTTGTTGTTTATTATTTTCTGTCTTACTCAATTGAGAAGAGGTTCGCATTGGTGGTGGTGGTGGTACTTTAGCAAAATGAAGGAATTTATTAGTATAGAAACTTTTTCTCATAAGTTTACTCCTCAGTAAGTTTGGATTTCCAGTACTTTCTAAATGACCTTCAGACAAATATCCACTTAAACTGCTTTGACTACTTATAGAATCCACCATGGAGTCATCTTTAGATATGATTTTCTCTTTAGGTGGGTCTTTTAGTTGCAACTCATCTTCGCGTAGATCAGGCATGCTCCTATTTTTCCTCTTAATTAAACCGCCCATAAGTAGTTTTCTTCTAATTTTATGTTGCTTTTTACCTTGTTTGATTTCTTTTTCTTCAACTTTAGGTTTTTTTGTTTCTTTTGACAGTGAATTTGACACAAATTCCTTTGTATTTTTAGTACCTCGTTCCTCACTTCTTGCTCTTTTTTCACCTTCTTTTTTGTTACTTTTACTTTTGGTTTGTAAACTTCTTCCAGGTCTTTCAGATATCATGTATTCTTCATCTTCAATTACTTGTTTTGTTTTGTTGGACGAACGAGACAATAATCCTTTTTTGTTTTTTGGTAAAGTAGCATAAATCTCAATATTTTTTACAGATTTATCTACTGGTGAACTTTGTAAAGATGTTAATTGAGTTGACATATCAAGTAATTCTTTGCTATTTTGTCTTGAATGTTGAACTGTTTTATCTTTAGAATTCTGTCTACTATGAGATCCTTGAGATCCCCTGTTACTGCAACTACTTCCTTCTCGGCTGTGCCTTCCTTCACCATCTAAAAATAAATTTATTATACATAAGTTAATAAGTATATTTTTATCTTAAAAATAAAAATAATTCTTCATACGTTTATTAGCAGAGTGAAGAGGTTCTTCAAGGCGCTTATGTAAGCTACGAGCTCTCATCACACAAGTATTATGTTTCATTCTTGCAAAACTAGCTACTTGAGGATTACTATATGGGGCGTCCATTGCAGCTCTTGCTTTACCAGCAGCTAAATTACACAAGGATAATGCTAAAACTAAATCCTCACTAGCTTCAGATTTCCCCAACAATTGATCAGCTTCAGCACAAAGTCTTTCTACTTCATCAACTGCTAAACAATTTAAATAAACATAAATACAATATCATAAAAATGTATAACTAAATTTCAATTATAAACATACCAGAATTTTTTGATCCATTTTTCAAAGATGTATGAGAAGTTTGGTGTCCTTCAGGTATTTGTGCAAGCTGAAAAGAATATACATATTATAATTTATTGTAAAACTTATAAGCTGTTTTTTAATTACCTGTAGATTATGCTTGAGATTCTGTTGTAAAGGCAAACTATCATTTGAAGATAATGAATAAGAATCATATCCCAAATCAAATTGATTCATCGTATAATCTTTTGATTTATTAGGACTTCGTGGAACTCCACTAAAACCATTTCCAATTCTGTCGATAATTTAAAATTACAGTTAAGTTTATAAATTAAATAAATTAATGAATTATTAAATACCTATTTTGAATTTTTCCAACAAAATATTGGTAAGGATTTTCTAAGGAAGTTGAGGATGAAGATGAAGCACTGTTTCTGTCACCACTCCAATTTCCCGAATCTCTTCTAACAAGTTCACATTTTGATGTCACAGATCTAGGTGAACTGGGTTGATCGTTTAAATCATCTGTTGAATACATTTCTGCTGCCTTAGCCATTATTACTGTCTGGTAATGAGCCAAATTTTGATACTCATTAATCGATGAATTCAAACCCTGTAATTATAATTTAGTCAAATTTCTATTATAATACCAATAGTATATTATATAAAATTTAATTAAAAAAATATATACAATAATAATAATAATAATAATAATAATAATAATAATATATTTCAACTTACTGGTTTGGCTAATGCTATTGTCGGATCTGGATTAGGAGTGATAGCTCTTCGATGACCTTGGTTCGATAGAGGTTTCTCTGGATTCGGCGTAAGAGATCTTCGACTTTGACTCAAACTTTGAGCAGAACTGGTACAAAATGAAAGCTTGGTAGCTTTTGTTATAGTTTTTGGTGCTGTTGTAGCATCAACAGGTTCTCCTTCTGGTGAAGCAAATAACAACAGAAGAGGTTGGTATCTCCCTCTTTTACATTTCTCAACCACCTGAATACATTATACATATTATTAATATACTAAAGAAATAAGTAAAAAATAGATCTTTAATATTATTGAAAATTTACCTGTTCCCATTTAGGACCAATTTCTCGAACATTAGCATCATCAAAATATATCCATATTTTTAGTTTTGTATGATAAAAAAATGTAGAATAATGTTTTCCGTAATATGTTACAACTCCAACTAATTGATGTTGTAGGGGCATGCTTCCATTAGGTAAATCAAATGATCCATGAAATACATCACAAAGACGTAATGAAGTACGCAAAGTACTTAAAAGAGCCATAATATGATCTAAAGTAGGTCTGTCAGAATCCCATACAATTCCTACGGATACTATTTCAGGTCTATTCATAAGTGTTCTTCTTATTTGAATTTTAGCTCCACAGGCACTCTGAAAAATATATATATATATAATTTTGTAAAATATTTTTGTTTTTTAATCATTCATAATAACTTACTGGACAATCTCTAATATCTCCCATCCCTCCAGCTTTCTTTAACAACTGTCCAAATAAATCAGCTTGCCCAGTTGAAGGGTATTGTTTAACTTGAGCAGTCAATGCAGATGCAGATACATAGTGCACCATCTAAATATAAAAACATTATTATAACAAAATATAAAATAAATTAAGGATATATATAGTTATAGAAACTGCATGAATAACTCAACAAACCTGAGTGAAAGGTAGAGGTTCTGAGGTAGCTCCACAAGCACCACATACACTTTGCTCAACTAAGGTCATAGCAAACTTTTGATGAGATATACAATGTTTTGCATTGCACATGTCTTCAGCTTCTTCATTAGCTATATGATAGTGTATTCGCAGTAATATATTTTCCTGTAATAATAGAACATTAGTCTCTTCACTATTTTTTTTAATTCGAAATAATATTGAACATACAAAACATTCTGCAGCATCATCCATGTAACCTAATTGGAATCTTCTCTGATCATAAAATGATTGAGCAAGAGCTTTCCTCAATGCATCAGGGGGTAGAGCTGTTTCTTGACTGGAACCAAGTGCAGTAAAAAGCTCCTGAAACCCCAAAAATAATTAGTTGAAATTAAAATTTTATTATAGTTTATTAATGAATTACTATTAAGTATATAATGTATTATCGGTATACAATAAGTGTTTTATACCGCTTATATTATTGTTTGATGTCACTTTTTATTACATCAGAACACTCTAAGGTTACTATGTCTCATGAACTATGAGGTTTTTTTAATTTCAACTGTTTCGTTTGAAAGGTATAATTTAATTCGTACGTTTGAATGAGTCACTGGCCTATGCAAACGACTGTGAGAAATTTTAAACAATAAGATATCCGGTTGTTATCTTATTCTTCCATAAGAACTTTCCCATGATCAATTTTTTGGATTTAATTACAATATTTTCCGCAGATTATGGAGGTTACATGATATTAACAATATAACAAAGATCTATTTTAATATTTCTTACTTATTACATTCGTCGAAAGATTTATATTAAATTGTGTTAAGCTAATAGCCTAAGCCCTAAGGGGTCGACCGTGATTAATAATAAAAACGATTTGCAATAGTCGTTGCGAAATAAGTTTGTCACGATTCTTATGACTTTTCAAATGAACCTTCTTTCCACCCACACTACTTTTTATTAATCGTATCTTATTGATAAATTGTAAAACATACCGAAAAAAAATTAATAAGACGGCGATACTATATTATATTATTATAATATTACGGTGCAGTTACCCGCCCATTCCAGTTGAAAAATGAATAGAAAATCCGTTACAAGACAAAAAATAAAAATTAAAAATTGAACTAAATCATTAAAAAAAAATTATTTTAACGGCCTAAAAGTAAAACATATATAAACAAAGGTAATATTATCTAATAAACATTAAAGTTTATTTAGAATTACAAAAAAAATCTGAAACATTCTAGTTTTAGACTATGAATAGTGAATTTCCAATTTCTAGCTGACCACAAAATTTCTTTGAATTGTATTTGATGAATCATGTAAATCGTGACACGTATGTGTTTTATTCTATGTCATTTGGCTTTAAGACAGTGAGATTTTATTAAAAATATCAAAACAACCAAATTGATGTAGTAGGTATAAAGAAATATAAAGAATACGTCTAAAAGTCAAATTAAGAAGTGGATAATATTAATTAATTTATAATTAAAACCATATTAAGTCCGCCTATTTTATCTAATACAATCCATTATAAAATCAAAACTATATTTACTTATTTTATTGTGTAAACGTATTCATTGCGTAAAACTGTATAATTTTTACGATATTGTGCAAGATTAACATACCTAAAGCCAGAACATCGCAATCGTAAAAATTCCAAACTACGTAAAAAACTTTCTTCACATCTTAAGCCAAAGGAAGAGCACATATATTTGTCGTTTAATTTTTCATAAACTAAATTTACATACATACTAGTATAACATTTAACTTGGTCAACCGGTTTCATAAATAAAAACCTTATCGTTCCGCAATCAAATATACTTGTTGTTATCAAGCATATAATAATAATATTATTATTATTATTATTATTATATGTTTGATATTAATTAAAGCAAAAATATTCTCTCAAATCGAATCAACGAACTAAACACCTTATGGAATTTGTGGTTTACGATCGATTAATCATGTCATCTTAAACATAGAACAAAATATGTATAAGGATACGTATAAAGCATATAGGTACTCGGAATCACACGTAAGCAGTGAAATCGGTACGGATAGACCTACAACACCACTACGCATATCGACAGATCATTTATCACCGTCATCCTGAAGATGATAATAGAAGACGATCTTTGCTTTAGGGCCGTCAAATAATAATAATAATAATAATAATAATGTTTGATTACATGGGCATTGTGAGTATCCACGCTACTCTAATTAAACGCAAAGTAAGCGCGTTCTTCTGGCGAATCGACGAGAATATATCCATCCACGCGAGCTCGCCCGCAGGAGGGGTTATGATGGGATTGATGATGATTGTTGTGGACCGGTTCTTCGAAAAAAAAAAATCAATGCCACGTCAAAAACCAGTAATACTGTTATCCTGGGGCTTATTATATTGTATTTGTATTGTACAGTGCGTATACAATATTCGTAAATAAATAAATTCATATATATATATATATATATATATGCATGTGTGCGTGTGTACAGTGAAAATAATAGACATAATTATAAATGACATACACACAAAATGACGGTGAGGCGAAGTCGAAGACAAAAAGTCCTCCCAAACGTAACGTACAGAGACCTATGCACTGTACAGTAATTATATATATAGGACAAGTCACATACACACACACACACACACACACATCGGTAAAAATTGATACTCCAATGTTTTCATAGAATATAGATAGTAGGTATACATTTTTTTAATGTATGCGTTCGGATTTTCGAGATATTCATATGATACGTAATAATAATATGTGACGTCGTAGCGACCCAGCGAGCAAGGAGCCCCGAGTATGTGCGCGAGAAACGATTTATACGTATACGTCAAAGGCGATAACCGGTTTTACGCTCCGTTACTATATAATAATATTAATAATAATAATCATTAATTCATAATAATATTCTAACCGCACACCCAAATATATACAAGTTGGAAGCAGTGGTCCAGCAGAAGAAGTCTAGTATAAAACGTATAGAATAATATACACTCGGGTATTTTATAACAACTTTGGGCGTAGCGGGATCATAAAATCCAGTCTTGCCAGGATGCACATAAATCGTAGATATGATTTTATATTTATGGCGCGAATCATTAATCACATTGGGCCGCATTCCACTAAATATATCATTTTTGGCGGTACATTCTTGATTGCAAGTAGTAACAAACGAACACGCGCGCGCGCGCGCGTATAAATTTACATGTAATAATAATTAAAGCTTATTTCTATTATTAAAGAATTGTGATACAAAACAATATGTAGAGTCTAGCTTTACTCTTCTATAAGAAAAACATTTTTTTTGAAGAATAAAAATATTAAATTCCAGTCAACCCAAGCGTACTCTGTTCTATTCTCCTGTCAACCGCCCAACACTCCGAACCATATATCATAGTTGATTTTACTACACTCTTGTAAGATTTACCTTTCAGCCTCATTTGAATTTTCAATCCTTTTCCTTCAAGGGCTAACCTCCACTCATCCAACCTATTATTAACTATTAATTCCAGAATTTCTCCTACCAAAACTATATTATCAGCAAACATCATAAACCATGGTATCGGGCCCGTGTGTCTTACGTAACTTCATCCACTACCACAGAGAACAAATAAGGGCATAAACCCGACCCCTGACGTACACCATCTCTTGCGTTAAAATCTTCTGTTACTCCAGTAATAATAGTAGTAGTAGTAGTAGTAGTAGTAGTAATAGTAGTAGTAAACGTATATTAAAAGAGTTGTAACAATATTAGGAATACAAGTCCGTAAGAGATACTATTCGTAATTACTTACCCAACAGTAGAAGAAAAATGCAATTTATTTATTTATTTAAAGATTTTAAATAAACCCATTATCTATAAAGTATAATAAGTAGATTGCTGTTAAATTTTATGTGAACGGACGCAATTTTTTTACTTGTAATTCTAAATTAAATATATAACATTATAATATATAGGTATAATTTTTATAGAAATAATTATTCTACTTAAAAAATTAATAAAATTTGATTTAATGAAATGAAAAATACTTTTTGTAATATTGTTAAAACAAAAAAGGACTGTAAAATGTCCCACCCCAAAATGTTGATGTTTTAAGCTCGGGCCTAAAAACGTCTCTGCGTATGCGACGAAGGAGAAAATACCACTGCGTGTGATTTGAGAGAATCACAGCAGGACACAACGAAGGAATGACATATCTATTGCACCATATATCTTTTTCCGCACGAATTAAGTTAAATTAAATATATCTATAATATATAAAATTACTTTATACACGGAGAAAATACAATATTCGTCGGTGACGCGTTTTTAAACGTTTGACGTTGACGACTGACGAGAATATAATATAATATAATAACATGTGGTCGCGGAGAAAAAAATAGAAACCGTAATAATTACTATCGCACGCCGTTCTTCCGTGCGATGTTTAAATGCGAACGCACCGTATGCACTGTAATACTACTACATACCTTTACAGGTATGTGCGATTTCCCTATAAATAACTGACGTGTATATGTATTTGTGTGAGAGTGTGGGTCTATTGCAGACCACCACCGATATAATATTATACGACAGGGGCGGCCAAACGGTCGATCGCGGACGATTTCAGAGCCGATCATGTTAGAATTTATTTTTAGGCCACGTGCACAAAAATTAATCGTGGTGGTTATGAACAAATTGTCGGTAAGTTTTACCTGTAAAGTTTTTATCTTTTATTCTGGTTTATAAAAAAATTTTCCAAGAAAGTCGATCTTCAAAGGTGAAGTATATTTTCAATAGATCGTGGCCGAAAAAAGTTTGGCCCCCTCTGCTATACGGCAATGACGATAATACGACATGTACGAATACAACGTTACATATTATCTTACCTTTAGAGCGCAGAAAATACATGACTCCTCCATACACGCGTGTCCGTATAACTCTCTGAAGCTCCGTCTGAATATATCCAAGTGCCACAGAACCTGAAACAATCGAAAAATCTCGGTCAACAAACATACGAACAAAATGCTTAACGCATAGTTATAGGTACATGTGTTTACATCGAATTCCCTATTACAATTATTCAATTGATTATGTTATGCTGTATCACGTATACGAACGACGTAAATCGTTTATAATAATTTACAATCGTATCGATACGAATACTCAATAATTACACGTCCACAACAGATTAATATTAAATATCTTAGGTCTCCCACAAGGAGTGTACAATCACTGAAATGATCGTCATAATAATAAGTATACCTAAATCATAAATGTCAAAAGCACGAGGTCCCAAACCATTACGCAGTACACCTATACATTCGAGCTTGCATTATACAATAATGCAATATTATTATTATTTATATACAGCGGTCAACCCCATCAGCTCGATTGTAACCGGCCCCGTCAAATAGATTTCTGATCGAGTTCCGATGACGGTCGAAATATTGTGTGCCGTCAATCATTCCAAGTATAACAACAACAGTGATGTACACGGGGGGTTAGACAACGCATCGATCCCTCGTCACGCTCCTCTGACCTGTACGGTGAATTGTCATTAAGATTTCACGGACACCTGTGCACGCCGGAGACATAATATATAATGTGCCGCCGCGGTGCGTACACAACGAAACGGACTGGGGTTGCCGTACGTTCGTCAACAGGTTCTCCGCCCCTTCATGTACGTAAAAAACCGTAGTATGACTCATATATTACAATAACGATAAACATCGTCTGTTAATCGAACCTTTCCTCGGGCAGACTCGTCACGAATCCCTTTACGAATAATAATACTATTTACACAAAGCCTATTATTCGATCTTATGGTAATTTTATCATATAATTTTAATAAATATATGTATATAAGTTGCTAGTATTCATGGATCCCCCAAGTACCGAAGAAATGTTCGCATATTACTCATCATGGGTTTTCTTTTGTTTTTTTTTTTTTATCGTTGACTTTCACAATCAAAAACGCGACGGATAACAATATAAAATAGCACCGATTTATACGAATCTTGGCACTTTTATTAAGAGAACGTACCGAATTTTGGTGTATCTACACCGTACATGGCAGTATATACGTATAAAAATAATACCTGGAGCTATATAATGGGTTATATTGAGTCTGTATATTCGTCGTGACCGTTAAGATCATGACTTTCATCCTGTTTTTTAAAAAAAAAAAAGAAGAGGAAAACGATTTGAAGACGAATCGGTTCATATGACGCGCGCGATAGCAATGGCCCGGAGACACCAGCATCAGTCACGGATAATGCTACTCCACACCATTATACATATACATAATTTACCTAGGCACATATATAATAAAATATATCTCTATAGTGTAGATCATCCGATTACAATACATTTATATAAAATAGGAAATTGATTTTTGTTACTTTTTTTTTTTTTTTAAGCAACAAAATATAGTATCGGTGAAACGTATTTGTATTTCATTCTAAACATAAAATATAATTATATATTGTTTGCGCGACTGCAATAGCTGCATGCAGAGTATTACGCTAGCGAATTTCAATTATATACTTCAAAAGTAATAACACAAGACGTTAATTTCGTTCTTATCGCGATTACAAAACATGTTAGGCGTGTACTACAATACGATATTGGCTTGATAATTATTACATTGCATCATGAGTTAACAATTATTCTTGCAAACATTTATGCCATGCACGTGATACGAACGCACGCTTAAATAATATACTTTATCTACCGGTTTCACTGAATAAATGGCTTAGAGTGTATTCATATACTACACATATTATACATAATACGGTAATGTTACTATTGTCGCAGAAAGCCTACACGATCACGTATCTGCAATAAGAAAATCTAGAATAGCAGTCAGAGAGAGAGGATCAATAAGTCGGTGAAAAAAATTTAATATTCTGAAAAAGGTAAAACGCACATAATAGGTAGGTACCCTGGGTAGTGGCTTTCATCTTACAATGAAGAATCGAAACGATCGTATCTTGAATAACGGTCGAAAACAACGTTAGGATGTAAGTATATTATAGCTATGTATCTAATAAATAATAATAGTATCTGGGCGATAGATCAAAACGACTGTTAATCTAAAACGATTTAAAATGTTTATTAATGAAATAACATAATAGTTATTAGGGCGACGACAATGCACCATTATGTAGGAAAATTAATGAAAACTATAAGTGATACATAATGACAATTGGCGAACTAAAATAAGGTGGCAATATATATATTGAGAGAAAGAGAGTGGTACGTGGGATATTAAACGACACCGCGTGTACTAAATGTGTTGGTCTATTTATTGAATTGTTAACAGTTTTGATGAGATCAACGGGGACCGTAATTACAATTGAAACCGTGATTTTCGAGGAAATCAAGAATTCAGGAGCGGGTAAAAAAAACGTTATGACGACGCGAAAAAAAAAAAAACGTTATTGCGATCTGACGAAAAATCTGCATCGGGTCGTCTGCTGCACTCGATCGCGAATCCAATCGATTGAAAAGAATCGATTCAACATGGCGGTCGACCGAAGTCCGAGTGTAGTGACCGGCGAGCGGGAATCGGTGTCTACTGCGGCGGCGGCGGCGGCAGGTACCTTTTCATACTCGTACGCGGCGTATACATATACATAATCTCCCTTACCTTGGTGATCTGAAACAACGCTCGTCTCTTGCACGTCTTGTTGACGGCCGACGGCCTGCGCTGAGGCGACGGCGGTTCGTCCTGCGATTTCTGCTGTTGTTCCATCGCGAACGACAGTAAACTGTAGTCGGTGCCGTTTCACGGGGACGCGAAAATGCGCGAAAAACCACGGGCCGAGGGAACGCACAGCGCGCGCGACGAACGACGGGACCGAGCGGACGCGGACATGACAGTGGACTGGTGGCGCGCCGCCGGAGAACAGGTAAGGTAACCGCCGCCGCTGCTCGCGGTACAGGTGCGGGATGGACCGACGCCGCAGCCGATAGGCCGTCGCGCTCCTTCGCGGACGGAGTGGGGGGGACCCGGTGGTCGTCGTCCTGCCGCCGCCGCGCAACAAGGGGCGGCCACCTGCAAGACGCGATACGAAAACCGACTGTACGTTCTCCGTTTTCTCCGCGTCTTACGGTGGTCGCGGTGTACACCTGTATATTATTATTGTATCGCGCGCGGTACGTAACCGCCGACCGCGCCCCGCCCGTGTAACATGATTCTGGTCGACGGCGTAGAAAACTAATCTCCGACGATCGCGCGCGCGTTGCACACCGCCGCCACGGGACGTGCGGTATAAACAAATTTCCCCACCCCCGTACGCGTCGTAAACGTATCCACATGGAAAAATTGAAATACTTCACTTGATGTTGTACGCAATAATATCACGGCGGTAACGGGGCCCACTCTTGAGTCGCACGTATTTATAATATACGTATAACTCGTGCACGCGTTTTATCGGTGCCATCAATCGATCGTCGTCGTCACTGGACAGTGTACACGACGATACGCGTCATAATGGCGCACACGCGCGGGACCGAAAAGATTTCAACGCGCTTTCAAGATCTCGTGAAACGAAAGCAAAACGCCCGTAAACGTCACAACACCCGCTCCGTTATGACACTGTGCAGCGCATAAATACGCTCGCACGTACGATGTGTTATGGGAACGCTACGAACACATTGGATGTACACACGGATTTCATATATTGTTATTGTAATAATTATCGTTTAAACGTAACCGACGACGAAATTATTACCGCCTGACATTTCGACAACATTTTCATTCTCTTGGGATTACGTAGGTGTACGCGCACTTACGGCAATCATCAAGTGGTTCTAAGTACGTTCGTGCGATGAAAACGTTGTACTACACTGACACGCTCAGTATTCGGTAGCACTCTTGTTAGCAACGTGCAATTAAGCGTATAAAACCACTACCGGGCATTAAATATTACAATAGCAATTATCATTAGATCAGTTATAAAGACCTGTTTTTTAGTTAATCGATCTTCTTTAATAATCTACAAATTCATTACTAATCCGTACGTTTAAAGAACTACGTAAAAAAAAAAAAATCAATGTCAAAAAATATTCGTACATAAAATTTAGACTTTTATGCGTTACACAATAATCGTTTTTACTAAAAATTTACAGTTTTGAATGAATCACGAAGCTCTGAAAAAAATGTTACAATAATCATCTGTGGAAACCAGAAAAGTTCATCGGGTTTACCGTACATAATGATGATTATTGCATTACGTGTTAATGTCCACTGACACTGTGGCCTAGAATTCGGCAAATGAGCAGAGTGAGAGAGAGTGAGTGAGAGAGAGAGAGAAACAATAATAATAAACAAGAGATTATTGTACGATGATATTACTATTATATATTTTACTACGAGATGATGTTTGTCAGCCGCTGCGTTGTCCTTGGATTTGGCGCCGAGAAACCGTGCACGTTGGCAACCCTGGCCGATCGGCGGTGGCGGCAGACGCGATGGCTGGAAACCGGTTTTCAGGACCCGCAGGGGATTTACTACGACTTTTACTATACGCACGCATGCCGTATATCGGTCCCGGGTGATTGTATATCTCTCTCTCGCGCGCGCGCGCGCAAACAGGTAATAAACATCGTAAAATAAAAACCCGCCATAAAAACTTATACGCGACAACTACTAAAGAGAACAACAATAAGAACCTCGGTGTTACCTACTCCAACAACGTACATAATATATTTCGTACATACGACCATTGTTCTCTACAATATTTGCATCTCGTTGCCACCCCCGCCGCAGAGACTTAAACGAGTCCGTCGCAATGTAATACTGTGCACTCTACGCGTGCAGTATTTACAGCGTACAGAATCCGTGGTCTCATTGTACCGGGGTCACTGGTTCGTTATGTTATCATTATATCACGCGCGGTATACGGAAATGATTGAATACCACGTACTTGATCGACCAACCTTCTCTTTCCCTCCGGAAAATCGAACGACTAAT